TCCGAAAATTACGGTATAGTGAATTAAATTACCTCTGCATCTCATCTTGGGTCAGGTTCTTACGCATTTCTCTCGACAGATGATAGAGACGGTGGAGAGTGCAGGCATGGAAGAGGGCGTTTCCAGACTTCCAGAAGACAGTGGAAACTTTGTTGTAGTAGTTGGCCATGAGCTGGGGTTTGGGGGGCTTCTTGGAAAGGGCAAACAGGCCGTGGATATCCTCTACAGCCTTAAACGCTTCCTAGAAAGACAAAAAGAAGACAATCTGTTACCCAAGGCTCATCTTGGAGGCCTCTTTTCTTCAGACAGCTGTGAAAATGCTTTTTATCTGCTGCTTTCAATTCATTTTTTACCAAAGCAGCCTTTTTTATAAAGTACCAATGTATAAAAACTGTAACTTCAAGATGAATCGGTTCAAAATATCATCACAAATATTTACAAAACAGATTCATTTCATTTCAAACATCCATTTTAGTCAAACCTAGGTTTAAAGCTCAGACTGAATCTGGATCATCAGGCTACTTGTTGGAATGAAAACCAAAATATTGAGGAACCAACCTGCCAGAGCTCCATGCTAATAGCGCTGTCCAGCTGCACCAGGCGGGTTTCCAGGTGCATGGACTGGCTCTCAGGGTTGTTCAGGTTGATGGCGGTGCTCTGGTTGTGGTGCCGCTGGATCTGACCCAGATGCATGCGCAAGTTGTCGCACAACTTGCGAAATTCTGCCTTGCGGGTGTACTGAAGGCAGAACTTAAAAGCTGCAGAAAAGAAATGAATATTAGATTTCTGATACTTTATCCAGCTTATTTTACCTTATTAAAGGGGTGATAGAATGATTCTATAGGGTATTTGGTCCTTTAGGTCTCTGAATAGGGTGTGTAACATTGGTTGGGCTGAAAATAGCATATTTGCTGTTCTATGAGCCCTAATGCAGCCTGGTTAAAAGCCCTAGAATGAAACAACAGGTTTTCTTCCTTTTATGGTATGCTGATGAATATTTAGATGAGCTGTGCTCTGATTGGTTGGTTTACGACGAGCAAAGCTGCTGAGCAAAGACGCATCATAGCAACAAGAACTCACTCACTGAAACATCAAATTGTTGATATGGCAGGGTGACCAGACGTCCTCTTTTCCCGGACAAGTCCTACTTTTCATACCTAAAAAATGTCCAGGGGAGAATTTCGAAATCTCTCGGGATTTTGGTGGACTACAGTGCAGCTCGGAGTCGAAACACACCGGGCATTTGAAACAAGCCATGAGCTCCAGGCTACCGTCACCAGGTTGGGTTCGGTCGCTCCGTCCCCCGCTTGCTCCCTGCCCCGTCCGCATGAACCCAGTCAGCAGCCTGGAACGCTGCATGTCCACCCCTGGTTTTGGCTCATTTTCAATGTAGAAACTGCCTGCTTTGTAATTCTTGTAGAACTTAACCCAACTGTAGGCTAAACAGCTAAACTGGTGTCTTACATCTACCTGTATTCATGTTCTTGGGCCAGTGAACCACTGTGCTGGTCTGTATGATAATTTTGGGGCGTGACAAAAGTACAGTCCAGAACCAAATAAGGCAACATCCCCAAGTTTTCGGTGCTTCGTTTAAATCCGCCCGTTTTATGGTGAAAGTTTAGAATTGTGAGATTTCCAGAGAAAGGAGGTGTCGATGGGGTTTGAACTTCTCTGTACGTCCATTTCACCCACTGAACTATCTTTATTCATCTATGATAATGGAAACTCGGTTTTGCATTCTATGACCCCTTTAAAGAAGGAGAACATTAAAGCCGCAAGAGCAATTTAATGGTTGCTGCGGCCTTAAAGAATCGTATGCTGGTTTTAAACCTGCAGCCAAAGATCAGGCTTCACATACCCTTAATTGCTGAACTTTACATAAGAATATTTTGTACTTTAACATGATATTAAATGTAGATTTATTGAAAGTACACAGAGAAAGTGGTAATGGAAGGACATAATATCATTATAGTACCTTGCTGGGCGATGTCATGATACAGACGCTCCACCTTGGAGTTGTTTCTCAGCAGGTCCAGACACTGGCGGTAAGACTCCCACAGGAACTTGACCCAAGGAGTGAGCAGCAGGCGATCAGTACGATCCTGAGTGTCTTCTCCGCTCACGGCACTCAGCAGGACACTGTAACAATGACAGCAAGGCATTAAGAGGATAAACAAAACGTCAAAGGGCATTTTCAAACAAAGTCCTGTAAAGTTTAGGATCTAGTTTATATGTTTGAAGGACACCATCTTTACCTCTCTGGAGTCTGGATGTTATCCAGGTCCTCGATGTCCAGCACCATCTGCTGCGACTCTTCCTTCGCCGTCTCGGTCTTTTCCTCGGCCAGCTTCAGGTAAGCCCGCACTACATCTTCCAGAGACTTGATGTTCACCTAAGAAGGAAAAAAAAAATGCTTCCATATCCCAGAAACTGAAAAACACACAGGTTCAGATGAAGCTGCATTTATTGTCTCAAACCAACCTGCTGGCAGATGTTCTTGTACTGGTAGAGACCCTCTTTGGCCAGGTGACTCTTGCGCAGGTCGACACACAGCTCCAGGTACTTGAGCATAATGGGTTCGTGGATCTTCTGCCATGTTCGGTGTTTTTTACTCTTGATGACATCGTACAAAACATCCAAGGCTGGCTGCTTCTTGCCGACCTCAAGAAATTCTGTTTAAACACAAGTCAGAGATTTTTATCAGCATTTTATTCCTTATTCAGTTAGTGCAGTTTAAAAGGAAACCTAACAATAATGTTATAATAACGTTCAGCTGTTTTCCATTAGCTTTATTTGGTTCCTTCTTATTAACCTGTTATTTAGGGTAATTACTTCATTATTGGATTTTTACTAAAATAATTACCAAGACATTTGTGTGACAGGATTATTAGAAATAGAATTTCTGGTTTGGGTATGAAATACATGAAAATCTACATTGTACTGGTTTTGTTTTTGATTTTTATTAGACTTAGACAAACTTTATTGTTATTTTTACACACGGGGTGTATTTTAATATTTTTGATACGGGGTCTTTGGGTTCAAATACTGGTTGGAGTTCCTGAGCAGGCTGAGGGAGTTTGCAATGCCAGGATGTAATAATTTGATTTTCCTTGAAATGTTAGAAAATTATAGCAATCTCTTAGTGTAATACGTTTGTAACCATATAAAATAAACACTAACAAAAACAGCAAGGATTAAATTCAAAGCATTTCTAAATATCTGGGTTTACATGTGACCACTGCAGAATATTAAACAAGCCACAGCGCCTCAGTAATATAAAAATAAAATATACTATTTCTTTTATTGCAGATTTTGCCTTTTTTGATTATTAAACAGGTAGTTATTCCTTTAAGTGTGAAAATTAAATCTGAAACCACTAAATACATGTAACCGCACATAATAATGATGATATTATAGGTGGGGAACCTTAAGGCCAAATATTCTGATCATTTTCTCATTAGGTTTGACATCCTTTAAACTGTCACAGGAAACAGACACATCTAATTGAACTTTAATCAATGTTAGATGAGGACTCCTACAGAATTTAAAGAAAAAATGCTCAGAAAATTTAAACAATATTTGAGCAGAAAAAGATATCTGTTATTTAGATTAGCTGCGTGAACAGAAATGCAGAAAAACCGTCGAAAGGAGATGTTTTAACTGACAGATGAAGCTAGGTCATAATGAAAACAGAGCAAAAGCTCGCGATATCGACACATAACAGATCAACCGCAACAAAGAATGACCAATAAAACGTTTTTTCCGTGGAAAATCTATAAAAACGTCGATATACAGCGATGTAAATAAGAAGTAACCCCGTGAGGGCCACAAGTGTGGCCTAGCTGATGCTAAAGCTAGCATTAGCTTTAGCATTAGCATGAGCCACACAGTAGTGACGCGGCTGAAGTCGGCTTTAACTTGAGGAGCTCCTCACACTCACCGTTCGCTCGTTTCAGAGCATTCTCTGGGCGCTGAAAATACGCCGGCATCTTGCTGGTATACTAGTGTAACCCAAAACTGACTGAATTGGTTAAAACTGGAAGAGATTTCACCAGTCCATCCAGGCCACGCACTCACTCGCGGCGACGGCGCTGGCTGAAAGGAAGAACCTCGTGAACAACCGCGGGAAGGTTGCCAGATTCGATGCGAGCCCCCGTTTAGGACAAGTCACATACTATTTAGACTTGTTTTCACTTCTTAGTTGATGATTTTATTGTTTATTACAGATAATTAAAATGTGTTAAAACATGCTTCTAGATTACTGGTTTGTGGACATTTACAAAGCGAAGGTTAATAACATTAAACGTTGCCTTTTATGCAGAGGATCCTCCAAAACACATTAGATCTGGGCCCCTTTCTGGTGGCATAATAAAAATTCATTAATTTAATTGGAAATTGAAGCCTATATCAAATAAAATGTATAAAACTAAAACTACACCGTCCTTAGGCATTATAGAAAACTTATAACTGACTTAGAATATGAATATTCTTCATTGTTCCACAACTGGGAAATTCAATTATATCAGCAATAAAGTGATAAAATAGTGTGTTTATCAAAAAAATGCAAGAAATATCAACTGCGTACTTTGATTTAAAAAAATCTACAAGACATGGACATATGTTTTCGCTTAAAAAAAGAATAGATTATTTACAATTAATATGATATGATCCTGGTTTAGGGCAAAAATATATAATAAACTTCATTAATGTGAATAAATATACCATGAAATAAATAGATGTATTATTTATTTATTTAATTTATGAATATACCATAAATTGGAAAATGCATGGTAAATATGTTAACAGATATTTACCAATACATTAAAAATGATAAATTAAAGAATTACTTGTCATGTAAAAATGTATTCATCTGAAATTAAACATATATATTTACTTTATATTTATATATACATCCCTGATATACATTAGATGATGGCTAATGGGACAGTTGAATACGGTTTTCTGGGGCGCAACATGGAGTCCAAAAATATCTGATGTTTCTTTAGTAACATGAGGTTTTACTGCTATAAAGATTCTATCAGGACGCCCAAAAAGGACAAAGCAAAGCATATTAATATATAAATACAGAAGTAGTTTAAAAAAATTCAAATGAGACATCAAAAAATGTGTCTTTGATTTAATTTTCTGTGGTTGTGTGGACCATAGAGCAGCATATTTATTAGTTCTTTTAAATTCTGCAAATTTTTGTTGTTTTTCTTGAAAAAATATGAGCTATTTTGATTAACGCTTGCTTTTTTTTAAATATATATTTCCCATATAATTTTTACTTTGAAAAAAAACAAGAGAAAACATTTTAAATTGTAAATAATTAAGAAAGGGTTTGGAACAAAAATAATTCTGATTAAAGTAACAAATGTTTATCCAATTGCTGATATCAAGTAACAAGCAGCTTGTTCGTCACATTGAATAGCTGCTTGAATAGATGTACTAAATTGATGAGGTACTTATTGAATACTGGTCTTTAAGTCTATGTATAACAACATAAGCAAGTATTAAAATGTTATACTATTTTAGCAGCAGTTTGTTTTTTAATCTCTTAAGTAAAAGCATCTATATATTCTTTTTCTGTTCCATTTTTTGTATAATACAATAAACAGTGAAATGGATACTATAATTTGGCCATGTCATGACCCAGTGTCTGTTCAACTATCATTTCCTACCACTTTGTTCATAAATTGTAATTTAACGTGTTTGAGCTTCTAAAATTACATATTCTCACTTCGGGGATTTTTAACGAACCTGGCAGCACCGGGAGAGCAAAGTACCCGGATGTTCTACACGATGATGCATTCAATAGTATCTGAAATCCGAGCTCTGTTCAAAAACAACGTTTCAGCTTTTGTGTATATCCGTGTATATAATATAATATAATATAATATAATATAATATAATATAATATAATATAATATAATATAATATAATATAATATAATATAATATAATATACATCCATTGTCTGACACGCTTGTCCTGAGTGGGGACAGTAATGTTTTCGGACTGTGGAAGTAAGCCGGAGTACCCGGAGAGAACCCAGGCATGCTCAGGAAACATGCAAACTCCATTTAGAAACACACGGTGAATCGAACCCAGAACCTTCTTGTTGCAAGGCAGCAGTGCTACCCACTGCGCAACATAGCAATACTATAATGTAATATATTATAATATTATATAATTCCGTAAAAGTTCAAAAAATATCAACTTGACTTGGTTTCCAAGATTTGAAGATGTTTCGCCACCTCTCCAGGAAGCTTTCTCAATTCAAAAAATATAATATAATATAATATAATATAATATAATATAATATAATATAATATAATATAATATAATATAATATAGCTGCACTGTTGCTCTGTATTCCGCTCACCTTAAATGCATCTACAGCGCTTCAAATGGCAAGATCTGATTGGCTGTGAGCACCGAGGCTCCGCCCCTTCAGTCGTCCACTCCCGGAAGAGGTTTTTGCAGGGAGATGATGGAGAAACTCAGTTGACAGCTGAATTTCCTCATATCACAATAATTACGTTAACCTTATTCGGTCCTCCTGATATATCCAGAGTCGTTTTCGTATATTTGTTCCTTTTTTTTAACTCTCGCGGTATCTCCGTGTTCGATTTTAGGAGACCTGTGGTGTTGTGGCTGTGGTTAACTTGTGAACTCTTTACGTGGTCTCTGACTGCTATGGAACATGGCAACGACTGAGACGCAGCTGATGTTGAGCGTCGGATTAATTGGTACATTTTTAATTATTCAGCTCATTATCTTCTAGTATAGAAGTTGTGTAATAATTTAAACATCTTATTTTGGCGCTTTAAGACTTTTGGACGATCACATGACAGCAGTGTGACCCATATGTGCTGCATCAGCAGGAGCAGCTCTCATAGATCTGGGGTCACAGATCATTCATGCTGATTTTAGAGTTAAAGGAAAGGACAGTTTTCATAACTCTATTTATTTCTTTAAAGTTCTGTCAGATATGTATACATTTCCTTCCACTTCTCAGCTATGCCCTGCCTTAATGTGAAGTTTAAAAGCTATATATTAACACCATAAGTCTGGAGGGATTTATTATTGATGCATATTTTTCCCCTCTAGAGAAAGATGTGAATGGAGACACATTGTGGGTGTGGTGTTATCCTTCCATCACTGCTGAACTGAGGGAACTCCTGCTCAGGAAGTGCTGCCTGACACAGGATGGCCGGGATTTCCACACCTTTGTGTTCGGCCAGTTCAGCCGAACCTGGTACTACATCAGCACAGTGGAGGTCCAGGAGCCGACGGCACTGAAAAAGGTACCGATCTGGAAGCAGCCAGCTGCCTCACCCGGGTTGGTAACATCCCTGAAAATACATGCGCTGATGTCTGTGTCTTTCCTCGGCTTAAAGGTCACCCATTTTTCCATTTGTGTAACGGCGAAAGACTTCAACCCTGAGAAATATGCAGCTCTAAGTAGAATACTCTGCAGGTAACATCTTAGAAAACACATTTCACTCTTTTTTTTTTTAGTGCTCTGAGTACGTAATGGTTTGGTGACATTTGTTTTTCAGGATGTACATCAAACATGGCAGTCCAGTGAAGATGATGGAGGCTTACATCACCGTCCTCACCAAGGGGATTTGTCAGAACGATGAAAACGGCTCGTTTCTCATCAGGGATTATGATGTCAGAAAGGCGTACCTGGCCGGTTCAGTCAAAGGTTAGACCGTCATTGTGCGGCTGTTATATTTTCTCTCAGAAAATAATCAACTTTAATGGAAAAGTTTGTTTATATTAACAAAAGAAAAAAAATAAGATTCCGGGTAACAGTACAATAACCATCATAAATATAATTTATTAATGATTAACAGGTAGTTTATTAATGTTTGATAATCATTTATAAAACGCATCCAAACCATTTATAAAACATAAATAGATCATATCACCCTGCTACGTTAGTTTAGCCCTAACATCAGTGAATTAAAGACCTGAACCTAACCTTTATTTTTAATTTAACTTGCCTTGTCATGTTGGACTTACCCTTACCACAACATTAATGGGCTTAATAGCTTAATAATTGATCTGTTTACCTTTTACAGATGGTTTAGATGCAGTTTAGAAATGATTCAACTAACCCTAACCCTATTAATAAACTGTCTATTAATCATTAATACATTTTCAGCTTTATTTACAAAAAAAATGCACGGTGCAGC